AATGAGCTATGTGGTAAAGTAGAAAAATTGGTTTACCAGTTTCATCTATTGTCTTTTCATATTTTGAACTGGGTTGTTTATGGTCAGTCATATAAATCACAGGCTACTGTTGTTATTTCAGTGGTTTGGGGTGAGGTACACAGGATGAGACATGGCAGCTACTGTGGTTTAATTTTAGCAGTTTAAAATGTACTAGCTATGAATAACTTTCTCCATGCAACCCTTCCTACCTGGAAAATAACCCCAATAAATTCAAGACAGGTTTCAGTAAGGAGGTCAGCAAAAAAAAAAAGAAAAAAAAAATCACATGGAGAACCTTGTTTACCAAATAAGAGTTGTAAGACAGGAAAACAGGACAGAGAGTTTACATATGGAAAACTATATGCAGTTTACAGATCCTCCAAATATCAATAAATCCTTAAGAGTCTGGTTTAAAATACACTGTGGTTGTGTGTAATCCTATCTCAGCAAAGGATTCTGGGACAACGTTGAGCCACTTCTCATCCATTAATTTCTTTTTTCCCCAGTCTTTCTCAGTAGACCTTTTTTTTTTCTTCTTTTTTTTTTTTTTTTTTGCACTGGTTGAAGAGATCTAGTTTTTAATTAGTATATCAGTAGGGATTTTGCAGGTGAAACTTTTGTAATTCACACAGTTGTCTTCTTCAGGAAGGTTATTAGACTAGAGCACAGATCATTTGTCTCCTTTTGCAGGATTCTGACACACCATTCTTTGTTCCCTATGGGAGTGTGGGAATTGTAATATAGGCAGAAAATTGACCCTGCTTGAGCAAGTCTGTGAGAGGAGGAATACATTTGCAAATGATCTTAAAACAAGGCAAACTCCAATTTGCAACATTTAATAAAGTGTGTGAAACTGTTGAGGAAAAAGAGAAAAGGAACTCTTCTTTATAGGCCATTAAAAAGAAAAATTTTGGCTTAATCTTGAAATAGTTTACCCTTGGTGTTGACATTGCCACATCCCTTCTGAAAACAGAACATTTGGGTCTTTCTTATCCTGAAGCGGTGGAGGGTAGACAACAATATTTTTTTTTTGTCTGCTCTTACTCCTGGAGAAATGTGGCTGCTTTATGCAGAAGGTCCTGCTCACAGGTACATTTTTCTTAAAAAAAAGCTCACTAAACAAATGAGACATGATGCTTATGTAAATTGTGCTTCTAGGATGCATCTTTTCTATTCTCACTTTACTGGACGTTGTCCTTTGATATCTCAGGCATGAGCAGCATCTACCAGCTCTTGCAGCAGCTTCCATAACTTGAGTCAGAGTTCTTGATGCTGAAGACTTGACTGCTCTGAATATGTCATCACAAAACTGGAGGTGGGATCCATTAACAAACCTGCTTTCAAATAATTCAACATTATAAGTTCATTCAAGTCCCTAATTCCTAAGGAGGAATTATCTCACTCTTGATCATATGTGTATGTTTTATATCCACCCTAACTCTGGGTTTTGTGAATGATGCTGCACCCCTATACCTGTAAATGGTAGCTGTCATTGTAAGA